AGCAATTTGATGAATGTATTACTAATTCCTGCAATCACCCTAATTGAATCGTTTGTTAATTGCATACCAAGCATTGTCAATTTCTGTTCTAGTAGGCCTAATCTACTATAAATCACACCACTTGCAAACCTCTTTTTTCATGCAACAGCAAAAATGAACAAATATTTAAATGGACCAGAGACCAGTGAATCTGACAACTGCATTTATGTTTACATTCATGCAGTTTCCAGAGTGCAACTGTCTAGAACAAACTCAAAGTTTTTTAATGCAACTTTGCAAACAGGTCGCAGTGAATATCACCAAGCTGTCATCTTTGCGCACGAAAAACATCAAACTTGGACAACATTAGCATTAAATCGGACAGCGGTTAAACTGTCAAACATAACAAAAAAGCCAAGTAAGTGGTAGTCTAGCTATTTAATCCTGTTTTCTATCTGATAAACTTTCAGTAATCGTATTCCTTTCAAATTCATTGTACAAACAAGCCCATATCAATTCTCACTTTTTTCATTCTTTAGGCCTCAATAATTCTGAATATTTCATTCAGTGTGATCGGAGTACTGCTGTGGAAGTCGCAACATCTACATTTCCCCACAAACCACCAAAAGAGATAGAAAAACTCACTGTAGAAGAAGCAAAAACTCTGGGATCACGACAATTGGTAAGCTGTTTTTTTTTCAACCTTCTCACTGTGTAAATAGCCTACAGGGTTGTTTACTTGTTGTAGTAATGCTCTGGAGAGTAGTACAATCACATATATTAGCCCTCTGTAGATTGTGCAAAATCGTTTTTATGGGGAGAAAAACATTTTAAAGTAGCCTGACGTTCAAAAAAAATGCTAAAATGTGAAAGATTTTTCAGATGCACAGGCAAAGATTACTCTGCTTCTCAGTTATCTTTGCTAGATGCTTTACAAACATGATTAATGCGTTTCAAATTGGTTAATGTGTGGAAAAGTTTGGCTATTTCCTCTTCTTATGACCACAACAGCAGTTGTATACATTTCCCTTGTAATCATGTTTATTGATGTATATTTTTGATTGTACATGTACGATTTTCTTTAAATTTTCAGATCACTAAAATATCTGCAACAGTATGCAAGCTAAACAACGCAACTACTGTAAAGGCCTGGGGTACAGACTGTGAGATCCAAGAATGTTCCTTGCAAGATCCATCTGGAGAAATTCAACTTACTCTTTGGGAAAACCAAGTTTCAAAACTGCAACTAGGTAACTCCTACACCTTTACCAATCTTAAAACTAGACTGTACAACAGCCTTAAGAGCCTCACAACAACCCTGAAAACAACCATGGAACCTATTGCACAGGACCAAGTTTTCCCACCTGGTCAAGGCCCTAAAATCAGTAAAGAACCCTCTCTACCTAATACAGTGGTGAAACAAAAGCCAATAGGGGTGCAAATAAACATTAAAAAACAATGTCCAAAATGCCACAAATCACAAGAACAATTCAACATCAAACAGCAATTTCACCGTTGCCCGACTTGCAAAATTCTACGGAACACAAAAAGCTATATAACAAAATGCAATGGAATAATTGAGATAAATCAAGACAGTCAAATAACTTCTCTTACGGTTTCGAACTCAACTTTGTCAAAATTCATAGCACCAGAACTTGAACTGTCAACTTGTGATTCACAAGATATAGAAGAACTCTTTCTATCCTCCGATGAACTGACTTTAACATATAATAACTGTTTGGAAGTCACCAATATTGAAAACGCTTCATCCGCTCATCCCAGTGATGAGGATTTATTTGAAGTGAATATCGATGAAATCAACCCTGTCCTCTGTGTCACAGAGACACAAAGCACTCCAGAACCCAAGTCTCCAGTTAAAAGACCATCTGAGCCAACAACGCCTCCTATTACACCAGCTAAAAAACCTTTGACTAAGAAGAGTGCTGTAAAAATAATACAAAAATGACTTTGTATTGAAATGCACAACTAAGATGGTTGTGTGTGTGTGTGTATATATATTGAAATGATGGTATTGGTGTTTTTTTTTTTTGTTTTTTTTTTAATGAATGGCAAATATTGATTTAAGTCATGTTTTCTATTGAAATTAGGTTAATTTTGTCCATTATGTTCTGAAATGCTACTGATTGATTTTTATTTCATTTTTATGGCAAAGCTTTGTTAAATGTTGTTTAATGTGTTTTTTTTTTATTAAAACAAATGTGTGTCAATTCTTGGAATATGTGACCTTTATTGCATGGGCTTATCTTGCATTTGGAAAGTTGCGTGCATTCTTCTAGCCATTCTTAACTAGGCACTAAGTTTAGTTTCACAAACCATACTGGGAAAAGCAAGTAGTGTAACCATAAGTGTCATTGTGAATAACTAAAGAAACGGTTGGTATTCTGTTCTGTAAAGATTTAAATATGCAACAATGGTGCTTTAAAATCACTTCAAAGGCCCCCTCTAATTTGCTTACTTTATCCAATGTGCTAAATGGTATTTAAACTAAAAATAATCGTTATTTTTAATTCACATTTTTATCACCTCTCACAATATTGTTTCTAGGCAGCATAAAAAAAAAAACTTAATTGTACAAGACATTATCAAAGATGACTGTCAAAGTAATGTACTTGTAGCAAAAATATAGGTTACAGTTGCATATGGCAGTTAACCCATGTAATTCCAATTTCTTTTCCCTGAGATAACATGTATGAATACATAAGGATATTAAACAATCTTTAACAATTACGTCAAAAATATATATCAAAATCCATACAAAAAACTTGATTATTCGTCAGGTCACAATTGTGACCATTAGTAGAACAAAGGGAGGCTAGGTATATGGTGTTAATGGATTTATAAACTGACAAACTTCTACAGTTTAAAGACCAGGTTCAATAATTGTTTTAAGCTTTAGTTAATAGTGTTGTATTACATCAAAGACACACCATGCAAAATTTCCATTTGTCAAACAGTGACCCCTAGAGTCGCTGTGGAGTACTTGTATTTTTTCTGAATATTAACTTAATGACCTAATATCTAATATGCCCATGACAATTTAGAAACTGAAAATAGAACATAAAAATATGTATTAGATCTAATATAACAAAATTACAAGATTATAAAATGCATTGCGTGAATTCTTGTTTAAAGAGAAGTGTTTAATCTACAATTAAACTAGGAATGTTTGACAGAATAGTGAATATTATCAGGAAACCTGCTCCAGACTTTAGGACCCACATGCAAAAACAAAACATTCTCTCCTTTAGTGCAGTTCAATATTCTTAGTAGTACCAAAAGTCCAGAATTGTAAGATTCTTACAAGAACCTGTTAATCTTAATGTTGTAAAATAATATTTTATCGATCTATATACTGCATCTTGGACTAACTTTATTTGTTAAAGGTGCAGGACAACCACCTAACAGTGAATCACAATAATATCAACTAAACTCATTAAACGTAACATGCTGTCCATTTAAATACTAAATCTTCATTTTGAGTTGATTCTCATTTGAACTATGGAACTTCTACATCTATGGAAACACATGACTTTCCAGGGGCTCAATGAGTGACAGGCATATGACCCAGAGATTGTGGGTTCAAGTCCTTTGTCTTACAACTTTATAAAGTTGTGTCATTTCAATTTCTTTATCATCCTGAAACGCATTGTACTATTCTTTCTTCCTATTAAATACAACGTGTGTTTCATTTATATGCAAAGTCTTTATTTTGAGTTCATTCTCTTTTTTACTACTGAACCTCGGCAGCTGGATGATCTCATTTCTTTTGTGAGGTAAGAAGTTAATGAGTAAGAACACTTTGGTTATTAAAGTTTCTTTTAAAGTTTTGAAAGCAAAGTATTTTTAAGTACCTTTTGAACCCATGGAACCATTGAAGGCTTGGCCCCGTAAGGCTGCTTGCAGCTTTAATTTATTTCTTATATTTCTCAATATTACTGTTTTGATCAAATAAATGCAGCCTTGGTGAGATTAAGAGACTTTTCAACCCTAAACCTTGAAACGATACACAAACAGAAAACACATTATTATTCTGCAGAGGTTATTTACAGTGAACCTAAAAACGGTATTTGGACACTTGAGCCATTTTAAAAAAAAAGTATTAGATACAAAAATATCAAACCAGTTTCCTTAAAGCAGGACAGCACAAATTCCACACACATTTCTATAGTTTTTAAAGGATAAAACAACAAACACAAAGACAAAACGTGTTGTGACAATTTCTGGTTGTCAAACATTAGTGCGTCATGTTCATAGTTAATGTAAAGAACTACACTTGGTTACTGAAGTTGAGGAGAACTGACTTCATACATCCACTACAAGTCATTGCCACGCTAGTCTATTAAAATAATTGCAAAAACGACTCCAAGAAGTAAAGTTAGCTGAGAAGCTATAGCATTCAACATTTTCCCATTTTCCGTGACCTAATCTAAAGTGAGAACTATTTACTGTTAATAAAGCATTATCTAAATCTTTACAGAGTTAATTAAAATATAATAATTTGGTTAATTACAGTGACAATGAATGAAGAACTCACTGTTTGTATATAGTCTATATATTAGCAATGTATACATGTTAATTACCTAAATAATAGTTTGCAAATGATTTATAATACATTATTGCTGTATACTTATAAGATGTTACCACTTTGGGAAATATATTTTAAAGCATCTTTTTTAATGTTAGATACAATTGTTCATTGTTTGTTCACGTTATTTCACAGTGCATTAACTAATGTTAACAAATACAACTTTTGATTTTAATAATGCATTAACATGAACTATTATTAATAAATACGGCAAAAGTATTGTTAAGCGTTAGTTCATGTTAATGAATGTTAATGAAACCTTATTGCATAGTGTTACTACATATTTTTATGTGTGCTTCCAAATACTTTTTGACCTCACATACAATTACATATTTGACCATAAATTTAGCATTAGCAATTGAAAATCTCATTTTAATATATCTTAATCCTTTCTGTTGAAAATCTTGAGACTCACCCTTTGCACCTTACCATCCACATCCAGATAAACAGTTTTAGGGGCATACGATGAGGAACTCGACCCCATGACCTCTGATGGTGATGATGGTTTTGCAACAGATACACAATCTATAGTTACCACCTCCTCCGAACCAGAAAAAAACAACAAAAAAACTTCAAAACAAAATTTGAACATTAAACTCAACTCAGCGTTCTCTTAATTCACAAGTTACATGCACCAGCTGATTTCATAGGATATAAAGTGGATCCATGGCACTAGAACAGGCATTTGCAGAATATTTGCCAGCGCATAAATGCAAGCTGTTGCCCTACCTCAACATGTGCCATCAGTTTCCTGCAGCCGCTCACTCAGAGATGCTGATGGAGGTGTTGGACGCGGCGGAGTCACAGCTCTGCTCTTTAAGTAGACTATCACTCACTCCCCTGCTCTCCAGCGTTGCCAAGGAACTGTTACAGCTCTGAGCTGACTATGTACTCCATGCCATCTACTGCTTCGAGGCGACACACGTCTCCATTACAACACTGCTCCTTTTCATGACACATGCAATATCTACCCAAAACATACTCATTTTATAGACACAATTTTAAGTCCCACATTACATTACTGTAAGTGTCTTTAACTATGTGTACCACAAACTGAACCATACCACCAAACCTGCCCCTAATCTTACCCGTATCTTACCTCAATAGCAGCAAAAGTGTTTTGCAATACAACATGAACATTAGAAGTAACGTACCTAACTAACAGTTTTTTTTTTAAATTATGTAAGTGCATAGTAATTTAAGACACCTAATATAAAGTGGAACCTAATTTTATACCTTATGCTTCATCAAATTTAAATAAAATTGGCTTGAGGAACATACAGGGAAAACCTATATAGGTTTTGGATACACTTTATTTTAGGGTGTCCTTGTTTCAGTCTAATTGTACATTTAAGTGCGGAGGAATATTAATTACATGTACTTATATGGTCAGGGATTAGGGTTTGCACTATAGTGAAAAAATAAATACACTAAAATGCTTTTGAATTAGATTTATTTCTATAAGTATACTACAAAACATTTACATATGTACTTAATATAAATACCCTGCATTGGCACTTTTAGAACTAAGCTGGTGTATTTAAAGTCTGGTAAATTATAACAACTAACTGTGTACTTAATGCACTTTAGTTATCCGGAAGTAGTGCTGAGGTCTTACTAGTGCTAAAAACGTACGGACCGCAAATTAATGGTAGTGTAGATTTAAAAAAAAAAAACAAAAAAAAACTTTTAATAAATGTGAGAAAATGTGTAAAATTAATCATAAATTTATAGTATACTATTACAAATAATGATTTAATCTAATTAATTACAGAAATGATTGCAATTTCTGTTGTCCAAAACAATGGTCTCATACGTTTGTATGCCATCTGTTGCATTTTCGCTGTTTAATACATTTTATTTACTATTTAAATTTATGCTAAAAAAAGCCAAACAGGCTGTTTAATGGTATTGTGACAAATTACTAAATATAGTGTGACATGACCTGGACATGATCTTAATTTTTATTTTGTTCTTATGCAAAATTTCTTTTGGCCAATGGCATAGTTTACTTTTAAACTAATATGCCGTCAAGAATCATCAAAGTGTCCAGAAATGATTTATTACAGACCATTACTCTGCAGTTAAGACTGTTTGCCTTTCACACGCTGTTTCATTTTGGCAAAAGCTGATAGTATCTGGACCCTAAAGCAAGAAAGCCAGCTAGCGTTCTTCCGTACATATGAAGCCTCAGGGATTAAAGCCGAGAGGTTCTCTTGAGATGCTCAGAGTTGCTATTTTTATAAAGTTGAGTGATTAAGTGTGCATGTACATGAATACGACCTCAGTATCTACTGCAATACTTATTCAGGTCTTGTTCAAACACACATATGCAGGTACAATTCAATCGCACGGAGAGCCAGGCCAATAACAAACATGAAGTTAGGTTATGAATAACCACAAACACAGCGCAGATAAAAGGACTGAGCACTGATGGCATATTTTAATGCAAGAAAAAAGGTACATTTGTATTAAGCATCAGTCACTAAAACATCCTGTATGAAAATGAAGGAGCTTAGTGATTATCTTGTGTTCATCTCGCTCAGGTGACGTGTGGACGAGGGAGTGTGTAACTCTCCTCCTCCTTCACTGCAGCAGCTGAGCTTTGTTCCATTGTCAGTATAAAAGGATGAAAGTCTCACGTTACAATTTTCATATAAAATAACCCAGGGGCTTAAAAAGGCTTGGCGTGTTGGATCAATCCTTGGTCCCTTTTTGTCGTTATGCTGCAGGTAATTTTCCGTCGCAGGTGTGATATTCACTTGTTCCTCAGATCTCTTTGAACCTGAAAGAAAAGAACAGATGAAACCACTGCAAACACATGGTGCAAAATTAAACGCTCCCCTAATAATCAGCAGATTCACTCAATGTACTAAAACAAAAACCAGATCAAATAATCACCACCTGTGGATTTGACGAGTGTCAAAAGGGGCTATTGGAGACCATTAGTGGAATGAATGCATGTACGGTAGTAAAATGGCTTGGCTTAGCATTTTTTGTTTTAATGGAAAATTCATTACCGGAAAAAAAACTGACTGATAATTACAAGGGTGTCAGAGACGTAATGATATTACAGTTGAAGGGCATACATCATTTTCCACCTCAACACACACATTTATGCTAATCATTTGGGAAAACAGTAAAAACTAACAACTCCCAAGACAGGTTGCAACCTCTTGGAGTAATTATGACTGCCTTGCAAACTCTAAAAATAGCCTTCACTGAATTATATTGAAAGCAGGAAGGACCAATTAGTTCAAGAACAGCTTTGCTTTGGTAATGACGATTTATATTTTAGGCAGCCACTAATATCAAGTACATGTCATGGCAATCAGCGTCATTCTGCAGATTTAAAGGCCACTAGCTAAATATTGATGGTTAAAAATAAACCTTAACAAAATCACTGTAAAAGTGCTATTAAAGATGATGACCTCCTATTGAAGAAAAATCAAAACCTTTCTTAATCAGCTTATTAGAATGATCTCTGAAGGATCACGTGACACCTGCAATTTAACTATGCCAACACAGGAATAAATTACTTTTTTAAAACATATTTAAATAGAAAACCACAACAACTTTATTTATACACTACAGGGCAAAAGTTTGGAATAATTATAGATATGTCTATTAATGTTTTTTTTTTTTTTATTAAATATTCAAATAAAATATTCAATATCTTCACGAGAATCTTAAGGTGAAGAGAGAGCAAATGAAAAAAAAAAGACATATATACACAATATATACATGCATGAATTTGAATTAGGGCTGTCAACGGTAACGCATGCAATTAATTCAAAATCTTTAGTGCAAATAAATTAATGAAGCATGCAAAATTACGACATTAACGTAATTTAAGTCACGCAGTTAGATGATAGAAGTCAGGAGTTTATCACACGCAGCTACAATGGCGCAAGAACTTTCTATTCTAAACCTTTCACTTCTCTGTTTCCGATCAGATCTTTTTAAGCAGCAAAACCCCAGGAAAGTTTTCAGTCCAGTTACCCAGTCCAAAGAAAATCAGTCTTAGGCTATAACATCAGAGATGGCAGAGAGAACAGTAACTCGCGGCCAGGTGTCTGTTTAGCTTTAAAACACGAACATATAGGACTCGTACAGTAAGTACGCGTGAGTCCGTTATATAAATGCTACAAAAAACGTGCATGTGCGCTTTTGGCACACTGATCGCACATTGTATTTATGCACAGACACATTTCAGTACAATTTATAACTGTCATGTGTATGTTGCTGTGTTTAGCTCTAAACAAGCGCTTTGCTGTTGCACTGTACACTGAATTCTGAAAAGCTTTGGTCTGAATTTTTTTTTTTCATGTGAGCTTTGGTGTGCATAAATGTACGAATTATATGGACTCCTTATATCATTTGGTTATTAGGTGTAATTTTGGAGTCTCTAAGGGTCCATTTTTGGAAAGACACCTACATTTACTTTGAAAAACGCTTGCAGAAAATACCATTTTGTGAGAATCATCCTTCAATCTAATAGTTTACTTTGCTGGAAAGCAAATGCTGACAAAATAATCACGTTAAACAAGATAAACGATGTATGCTTAAATTTGACGATAAGTATGCAATTAATAACACTAAAGGGTGCAATTAATCACGATTAAAAATGTTAATCTATTGACAGCCCTATATATATATATATATATATATACACCAATACGTTTACATAAATATATATTCAGGATCTCCTTACATATTTCACCATAAATGCAAAGAACAAGAGTGAATTAGGGATATTCACCCTCTCTGCCTTGTAGTGTATCCGCACCATCCTCTGATCTCCTTATAGACGAGTCTGGACAACAGCTACAGGAATAAGAACAAGGGGAGACAGTGAGAAACTGGCTTGAAAACACACATCCATCATGCTATTACACATTGGATAATATTACAGATAATATTGGACTAAACAATCATTATGATAAACAGCAACTGAAGTCTCACCAGGCAGGCCAGAACATCAGCAGTAATGAGCATATAGAAAACATTGTTCCAACCGGTGGGAGAGATCAGACCAGCCAACAGAGGCCCAACAGCGGCACCTAGAGGTCAATAAACATGTTACACAACATGTAACACTTGTGAAGTTTTCAAAACAAACATTGGTTTCTGAATGTTACATTTAAATTTACTGTCAATAGCCTTTTAAAAACATTGCTCGGTTTTTAAATGCCAAGAACAAAACATTTCAAATTCACTGCCAGATTATAACACAATAAATAGAAAAAAAATAACCTTTACATTCCCTGCATACCTATTGATCCAGTGCCGTCAATAATGGCGGTCACAGTGGACAGTGCCCTAGAGTTCCCTCTCAGACACTCGTGGGTTCCCTAAAAGATAAGAAAAACATTATGAAATTTACAACACATAAAGCTTGATACATTACAAAACAGTTTATTGATCAGTTATTGACAGGGAGATTTTAAAGGTCGGTGTTGATATATCGGTTTTAAGTCTTTATTTATTTTTTGAAACTTTACAAATGTCCATGTGAAGAGCACATGGAGGAAAACG